ATTATTTTTATAAAAAAACGTTACTTACTTTTATTTTTATGTAGGGTTTCATATAAGGTTTGTTTGTCAATTTTGGTAGTTGGATTATTTCATATTGTTTTGACGTTTGTCCGGTTTAGGGACTTTTGGTATTTGGCAACTGTTTCTTGGGAATGCATTCACGAAGGGCCATGGCTCTAAAGTTGGTTTAAGTTTGTTTGTATTCACTGCGTTGCTCATTAATTCTTTAATTTTTTGTATATTGCTGAAGTGCGCTTTGCATTAAGAATATTACAATAATTAAATCGTACGTTGGTAGCATTGTTATCAATTGCGCATGAGGGTTTGTTCGGGAGAGGGGAGAATCAAGAGGTAGACGCTGAGGTTCTGCAGGTAGACAGGTGCGAATGGCCGGTTCTCAAGTTAGATAATTTGTTAAATCTAACTAAAGTGTAATTACGATTCGTTTAGTAATTAACTAGTTGTTTGCCTATCATACCAAGTTAGCGCAAATAGATAGAACAGTGGTTGCCGTGGTCTCCTGAACAATTGAGTTTTTCGTAATCGAGCAGCGTGGTGAGTGCAATCAAATGTTATTCCAACTTTTTCTAAGTCATCCTATTTCCTAGTTTGCTAAATAGCCATCTAAAGTACCTGGGAATTATTCCATCGACCTGGGAAGGTCCTATTTTTAGAAATTCATCGAAAAAACCGGAGAAACTCCGTAAGTATTTTTTTTGTTGTGGTTTCCCATTTTTTATTCGAAGTATTATTTATTCATTTAGGGTTTTTTCTTGGGGGCACATTTTCTGGAGAGGTTATCCTGGTCTTCGCTTATAACTGTAGCGAAATAATTACTCTGAGAGATTTTCCTATGGAGGAGTTCCTGATGGAACGGTCTCAAAGATCGCTTTTATGACAGTACCCATGGAGCACGAATAGCCCCATGCATCCAGGAGCCTGATCCAGCCCTTTGAATGAGTATACCAGATGTCCAGAAACCCTAATCGGGATACAGGTTTTTTTTTCATCCTTATTAATTTTTTTTATTGCGCAAAACTGCGTTGCAGTAAATTATGAAACATTATTTTATATTTTAACCATTTTTAATCTAGTGTAAACCAATAGCTATTCGGTACTGATTTTAAAATCCTAAATATTGAATTTAATATAATTTTCATTTAAAATATATAAAGTAAGTAACTAAACCTTGAGTTTAACTTAATGACCACAACCTTAGGTTATTGTACTCTTTAAAGTTGTGGTGGCGCCCAAGCAAAGTGTAAGTATGAAGAATAAAAACCCACAGACCTCCGCTCCCAGACACGAGAGCTGCCGGAGCATATAGCCCCACGTTGGGCGCCAATTTTATATAACCAACTTGGGGTTATATGCTCCGGCAGCTCTCGTGTCTGGGAGCGGAGGTCTGTGGGTTTTTATTCTTCATACTTACACTTTGCTTGGGCGCCACCACAACTTTAAAGAGTACAATAACCTAAGGTTGTGGTCATTAAGTTAAACTCAAGGTTTAGTTACTTACTTTATATATTTTAAATGAAAATTATATTAAATTCAATATTTAGGATTTTAAAATCAGTACCGAATAGCTATTGGTTTACACTAGATTAAAAATGGTTAAAATATAAAATAATGTTTCATAATTTACTGCAACGCAGTTTTGCGCAATAAAAAAAATTAATAAGGATGAAAAAAAAACCTGTATCCCGATTAGGGTTTCTGGACATCTGGTATACTCATTCAAAGGGCTGGATCAGGCTCCTGGATGCATGGGGCTATTCGTGCTCCATGGGTACTGTCATAAAAGCGATCTTTGAGACCGTTCCATCAGGAACTCCTCCATAGGAAAATCTCTCAGAGTAATTATTTCGCTACAGTTATAAGCGAAGACCAGGATAACCTCTCCAGAAAATGTGCCCCCAAGAAAAAACCCTAAATGAATAAATAATACTTCGAATAAAAAATGGGAAACCACAACAAAAAAAATACTTACGGAGTTTCTCCGGTTTTTTCGATGAATTTCTAAAAATAGGACCTTCCCAGGTCGATGGAATAATTCCCAGGTACTTTAGATGGCTATTTAGCAAACTAGGAAATAGGATGACTTAGAAAAAGTTGGAATAACATTTGATTGCACTCACCACGCTGCTCGATTACGAAAAACTCAATTGTTCAGGAGACCACGGCAACCACTGTTCTATCTATTTGCGCTAACTTGGTATGATAGGCAAACAACTAGTTAATTACTAAACGAATCGTAATTACACTTTAGTTAGATTTAACAAATTATCTAACTTGAGAACCGGCCATTCGCACCTGTCTACCTGCAGAACCTCAGCGTCTACCTCTTGATTCTCCCCTCTCCCGAACAAACCCTCATGCGCAATTGATAACAATGCTACCAACGTACGATTTAATTATTGTAATATTCTTAATGCAAAGCGCACTTCAGCAATATACAAAAAATTAAAGAATTAATGAGCAACGCAGTGAATACAAACAAACTTAAACCAACTTTAGAGCCATGGCCCTTCGTGAATGCATTCCCAAGAAACAGTTGCCAAATACCAAAAGTCCCTAAACCGGACAAACGTCAAAACAATATGAAATAATCCAACTACCAAAATTGACAAACAAACCTTATATGAAACCCTACATAAAAATAAAAGTAAGTAACGTTTTTTTATAAAAATAATAATTATAACTAACTTATCCTAACCCCCTTTTAACCTATTCTAAAGTACACAAATGTTGTAGGATCACCAGGGCCCCAGATAAACTTAAAACGCATATATACTATAAAGGAGACCCAGGAGCACCCACATCATTCACCTACACTCATTCACTCAACCATTCATACTTATCACACTTCATACATATCGAAACAATAACTAAAAGGTAAATTCTGTCGTAACCTAAAATATGTACCAAGATCTTCCTGGTTATAAATGAAACTAAAATAAACGTACTATTTTAGGCATGGCAAATCAACACCATGAAGCCAGCGACCTAAAGACCCCAAAATAATAACCAAAACATAAAAATACAATACTCATAAGCCGATATGCGATATACAGTGTGAACAGTTGTGTACTCAATAAACTAAATTATACTTATACAGTGCTTAACTTATTTCTAATACATAAATCATGTAGCGTTACTATTTGTAACGTTACAGGGGCCGTCCATAAATGATGTCACACACTTAGGGGGAGGGGGGTCGTCGAAAATGTGACAGTTTGTGACAGCCGGGGGGGGGGGGGCTTTGGGAGGTTGTGATGTCACAAAATTATAAAAATATTTTGGAATTTAATAATTAATAATGGTTATAAAATGGATATTAAGATTTTATTTTAAGCAAAAATTTTGTGGGGTAGACCTTACATAAAAATTAAATCAGTGTGACGTGACGCCAATGGGGAGGGGGGGGTCCCATAATTTGTGACACTTTGTGACAAGTGGGGGAGGGGGGGGTCAAAAATATTAAAAAAACGTGTGACATCATTTATGGACGGCCCCTTATGACATTAGTTCTTTAATATACTATTCCAAAATTGTTTTTAAACTGTAAACAAATTATTTAGATGATACTCAAGTAAAAAAGACAAATTAAAGTCACCTTACAAAATTCCGCAAAAAAATATTTCTTTTTATTCTTTTTTACGAAAAGATCGTAAAGGACCTTATTTCTAAAGCCTAAAATTTAATAATTAATTAGCGAGTTATGTATTTATTCCAGTCATTAAAAAGTCGTTTAGTCATCGGAAAAAAATATTTTATTTCAAAATTGTTTTCAGACTGTTAATTATTTGTTTAAATAATACCCAAGTAAAAAAGGACACCCTGATAAGTTTTTTAAATAATTGATATAAAATTGAAAAAAAATCTCGATTATTCGGTAATCATTTTGGTTTGAACAAAAATTTAACACAACTCACAGAAACTTTTTTATTGGGGTAGTATAATATATATATATATTATATATGTATATTAGGGTGTCCCTTATTTTTATTTTTTTTACGCATACCCTCTAATTATATTTATTACGTGTTTATATACTCCCAGTAAAAATTTCAGCTCATTCTATAAACGGGAACCCGTGCCGACTTGCATCTGAACCATCCGTTAGCCAACGTTAGGCGCGCGGTATTTTGTAACACGGTTGGTCGCGAGGTCTTCGATCGTAAGTCATTTTGTGTTTGTTATTATGTGACCCTTATATTATAAATTATTGACAAATGTTAAAATATAGTTTTATTTATGTGTTTACTTTGATAAAAATGTATATTTTCACAGGGAGTGGCTAGTTACCCGGAGGGGTCTGGTGAATAGGCCGTAAACTCTGAAATTGATAAACTTAATGGGTTTTACTCTAAATAACTAAAAGAGTCTATTGTGAGAGATGACTACCGAAAACTTATTGAACTGTCTGAAATATTTTTGGGAGGACATCAAGAAAAGAAATGATTATAAAAAGCTGAAATTTCATATAACTATATTTTAGCAATACTAATTAGTATATTAATTTATTTAAGGGATAAAATCAACTAAATTAGTAAAACAAATGATAGAAACAAAAGCAATAATATTAATTAGTAATCATATTTAATAAAATCATTAGAAAAATACAGTCATGAAGTATATCTTTTTTTTAAAGTGTTTCGTGTTACAAAATACCGCGCGCGCCTAAGGTTGGCTAACGGAGGGTTCAGATGCAAGTCGGCACGGGTTCCCGTTTATAGAATGAGCTGAAATTTTTACTGGGAGTATATAAACAAGTACTAAATATAATTAAAGGGTATGCGTAAAAAAAATAAAAATAAGGGACGCCCTAATGTATATATTTATTTTTTGATTATAACCTTTTTTCATATTTTGCGCAAAACATTAAAAAAAATTCTTAGGAATATGGAGTCAAAAATGCCCATTTAAAGATTGCACTCAACATATGCGTATAGTACATGTATAGAAATGTTCATTTGTTCACCTTAATATAAACTTACCAGTAAGGGCACCTGTGGCGCTAGTATCGAACCAATCCTTCCAAACATCGAACATAAAGAAAACATAGAATGTCTTGCACATGTAGGAAATATTTCGGTGGTATAGACATACAAAACTGCAAAGGCTATAGTTATAAAACATTTTCCCATCAAAAATCCAATCAATTTGCACCAGAAGTATTCTAAAAATAATGTATTTTGGTATTATCAAATTAACGGTTGTTTACAATTTTTACCCTCGGGAATATACTCGTCAACAAAACAAAATACCCCGCTTAAAACCAACGTAACAAGCATAACTTTTCTTCGTCCAATTTTGTCATCTATCAAATAGTATACAGCAAATCCAGGTATCTCAATGGAGACGGTGAAGATATAGCTTAAGTAAATATTGTCTGTGATTCCCACAGAGTGAATCGTGAGCCCGTAGTAAATAAAAACGCAGCAAATCCACATGTACGAGCAAGTAATTGTGCGCAAAAGTAATGTTTTGTTTTGGATTGCTGTCAAAAACGTCTCCTTCTCCTTGTCGGCTTCGTCGGTATTGGTATTGAGTTTCATTATAATATTATTTATGGATTCCTCATCCACATTAGATTCTGTATTGTTTGTTCTTGCAATTTTTAGTATAATTTTTTTGGCTTCTTCATGTTTCCCCTGATGTATCAGCCACATCAATGATTCCGGTATAAGCCAGAAAAATGAAACTGATAGCAGCCCAGGTAAGTACATACACCTAAGAAGTATTCTCCAGTTCGGCGTTACAGATGCTACAACACCCAAAAGGATTTGACCCAATGTGAATATGCAACTTATTGCAATGTTGCCGATGTTTCTTTGGTTACTTGGTACTACCTCCATTGCTAAAAAACATAAAAATCGTGCGAACCAGATTCAAATGTTACAAACAGTTTTGCATACGCGTACGCTATGCACTGGTGTTTTACTACGATTTTTTTTACCGAATTTATTGTGTTTTTTTAAGTATAAGCCACGCACTATCATAGTATGGTTTTGCAACGTTTTTTTATAAAGTTTTTACTGCATTTATCGAACAGCAATAACTACCCGGACAACATTTGTGATATTCATACGAACATCACGTCGTGATTTTCACAAATTTTATTCATACTGATATCATACGGAAGTCACCGCGTGATAAATGAAAATCATACGAACGTCACGTCGTGATTTTCACAAATTTTATTCATACGGACATCATCCGGATGTCACTGCGTGAGTAATGAAATTCATGTCGTGATTTTTTATGCCATCGCTGTTTGCGATTGACCGATGGCACACAAAATGTCAGGATTTTTTATGCCAACGGTGTTTGGATAATCATTTTTGCGCCACGTTCGTACACTAAGAGAAAAATTATGTTGAATCAACAGTTTTTGCGTTTAAATACATTTAATATTTTCTTGGATTTAAATTAACTATATATATTTAATTTAAATCCAAGAAAATATTGAATGTTAAACTGTTGATTCAAAAATGAATATCCAAACACCGATGGCATAAAAAATCATGTCGTGATTTTTTATGTCCAAACACCAATGGCATAAAAAATCATGTCGTGATTTTTTATGCCATCGTTGTTTGGATATTTATTTTTACGGCTCATTCGTACATTGAGAGAAAAAGTATACCTTCATATATATTGAATCAACAGTTTTTGTGGTTAAATAAATCCAATTTTTTTTTGATTTAAATTAATAGTTAATTTAAATCCAAGAAAATATTAAATGTATTTAACCACAAAAACTGTTTCAACATAATTTTTCTCTTAGTGTAGGAACGTGGCGCAAAATTATTATCCAAACACCGTTGGCATAAAAAATCACGACATGATTATTTAGGCCATCGGTCAATCGCAAACAGCGATGGCATAAAAAATCACGACATGATTTTCATTTCTCACACAGTGACCCGGATGATGTCCGTATGAATAAAATTTGTGAAAATCACGACGCGTCGCGACGTGACGTTCGTATGATTTTTATTTATCACACGGTGACTTCCGTATGATATCAGTATGATTAAAATTTGTGAAAATCACGACATAATGTTCGTATGCATATTACGAGCATTTTATATAAAGTTTTATAACACTATTTCTGTTTTTGTTATGTAAATGAATTAAATTGAGAATGTGGCAAAAATGGACCGGCCTTTCCTAGACGTAAGTTTTTACCTAATATAAATGCAGCTCCATAAGTAACAGAACAAAATGCTGTTTCCAAAAACTCCAATGAAATAAAAAATGTGTAACTCGTAGAAAATGATTTAATCATACCAATACAGGAACTCATGAGCATACTGATGGTCATTACTCTGGATTTACCAAATCTATGACAAAATAATATTAATATTTTTAATTTGTGATTACACACTTGTTTACTCAACCTGTCTGATATAAATCCTGAGTATGACAGACATATTAATTCACCAATAACGTTGATCGTTCCGACGATTGTTAGTTTCCATAAGTTATTATCACAGTGTATATTGAACTAAAATTCTTAAAACATTAGGTTTTTCATATGAGTTTTGTCCCAACAGATTTTGTAACATCTGTTACAAAATCTATAGGTGCACAGTAACTTTTATAATACGAGGGTTGCCTTTTATATTTCGGGAATAGAGAAAACAAACAACAATTAATCATCGTACATGGCTTTATTGTTTTTTAAAATATTCTCCATGAAGATCGACACACTTTTGCATGCACTTGAACCAATTTTCGAAGCATTTTTTTCACTCCGATTGAGGCACCTCCAAAACATGCATTTTGAACGCATCAACCGCTTCTAAAGACCCACACAGTCGACTGCTGTTTACTTTCAGGTTCATACGCTTAGATCCATGATTCGTCACCTGTTACAATGTCATGAACATGTTTTGAAGCACCTCAATCGTATTTTTTAAGCATTTATTTTGACCACTAGACCCGAGACCTTTTTTGATCGATTCTCAAATTATGTGGGATCCAACGGTAACAATTTTTTCTGAAGGCCAAATGTTCATTTAATATTGAATGTATGCTGGTCCCACTAATGCCCAAGGATGACCCAATCTCACGATATGTCACATGATGATCTTGCATTACCAGTTCACGCACAGCATCAATGTTTTTTGCAAGAACGAGTGATTTTGGACGACCTTCACGAAATTCGTCGGTGAGCGAACCACGGCCACGATTAAATTCGGAACACCACCGATATTCACTTGTTTTTTATGGCACTTTGTCGCCAAAAGTCAAATTAAGTTCATCGATGCATAATTGTTGGGATAATCCACGGTAAAGTTGTAAAAATTATAGCACGAAAATGTTCACGGGTCAATTCCATTTTTTTGGCCGACATTAATTTTTCAAGTGACTGTTAATAATTCTAATTGCGCCCGCACGTCAAAACGTGTTAAGTAAGAACACCGTCTAAAAGGTCGAACTTAACGATACACACATCTGTTGTCCGATAGCATCAGCAGGTTCGGCCATTCCCGAAATATAAAAGGCAACCCTCGTAATATAACTTAAAAGGTTATTAACTTAAAGGCCTCTCATGCCAAATATTCAGTGTTTCTGGACCAATAAATGTTAACTAGACTTTGTGCATTAGGAAAATAATTAAAATATAGGGTCCGTGCATGTTAAAGCGGTGAGAAGTTGACCCCAGAAAAGATACCTGTTTTAAAACAACAAATTTTTTAAAACAGTTTGTTCTGTAGTGAGTTAGTTTATAGATTTTTTAAATGGTGATATATTTATTTAATAATTTCTACTTGATAATATTTAAAATACAGAGTATTCCATACGTAAAAATAATTAAAAGAATTGAAATATTTTATTCGATTTTCATTTATAATTGTAATTAGTAGAGACCGGACTTTTATGCACTTATTATTCAAATGACAAATCTCAAAATAACAAATTTTACAGGCCAAATGTCAGACATTTAAATGTTAAAATGTAAAAAATTACAGAAGTTAAAATATTACCACCAGTAGCGCTGATTGTCGTTGCGTACTGACGTCTGAGAAGTCCAGGAAACAAAGATTGTAGAAGGAAAACTCGATGGTAGTCGGGTTTTATTTTTTTTTCATGAGTCAGGGGTGCTGATAATGAATCAAGAATATTCCCAAAAAATTTCTTTCCGCGTCCCCTAATTTCATCCCCCGAAAGGGGAGTTTTTTTGCTTTTTGGCTCATAACTCGCTAACCGTGCATTTTTTCAGAATTTGACCTCTAATACTTTTATGTACTAAATAAGGCACACGTTAAACCCCACTGGGCAGCTATATAATGTGCCCTTTTGCTATGCGCAGTGTGCAAAGTTGAGCGTTGCTTTCAAAATCACTTTTTTTGTTTTTTTATTATAGGCCAATTTTAAAAGTAATCGATCCCAAACCTTAAGGTAATCAAACGAAAAATAGTGAGAATACGTGAATGTTTTATAAAATCAACTAAAAAATTACAAAAGGTCTCCCATCTTGAAAAATAAAAATATTAAGAAGAACAAAAAGGTGTACAATGCATAGGTACCTATGCGAAATAATTTAAAAAAAAATATTTTTTTAAATTTCCAAAAAAAATATTTTTGGCCAAACGGTCTGAAAGACCAAAATACTGAAAAGGTAATACTTGAAAAGGTCTATAACTTAATGTATAAATGACTTAAATGCTTTCACGGGCAATGGGTGAAAAATTCAAAAAACAAGCAAACTTTAATTTTTTTGGGGCGCTTGCAATGAAAATAATTTAAAAAAACTACGGATTCGTTACAAGGATAAGTGTACCTAAAAATCTAGGGTAGAACGAACTGGCTCAATAAAGCCGTTTGGGAAATAAAAAATGGGTTTTTTGAAAAAAGAACCCTCTGTACATTGAAAAGCAGTAACTTTTGAAAAAGTCTAGTACCTCAAAAAATCGTCCATTCGGGTATGGTTGATTACCGTAAGGTTTGAAATGGATTACTTTTAAAATTGGGCTATAATAAAAAAAAACAAAAGTGATTTTGAAAGCAACGCTCAACTTTGCACACTGCGCATAGCAAAAGGGCACATCATATAGGTGCACAGTGGGGTTTAACGTGTGCCTTATTTAGTACATAATCAAAAGTATTAGAGGTCAAATTCTGAAAAAATGCACGGTTAGCGAGTTATGAGCCAAAAAGTAAAAAACTCCCCTTTCGGGGGATGAAATTAGGGGAAATAAATTTTTGGGGAATATTCTTGATTCATTATCAGCACCCCTGACTCTACATGAAAAAAAAATAAAACCCGACTACCATCGAGTTTTCCTGTTTTGGTGCTGTTTCGGTAAAAACCAAACGATAAACGGAACAACAGCGCCCTCTTATTTGTATACATTAAGTTCGGACTCCTTGTGTAGATTATAATTTAATTTAATTATAATTTTTGACATTTTAACATCTTTCAATTGAATCGTCTAATTTCAAAAGCGGCCATCTCCTTTGAAGAATATTTTAAGTAAACGTCAAAAAAACATTTTAAACAGTACCTAATGGGTAAAAAATAAATATATTTTGAAAAACTTGTTCATATGGTAACAAAAAATATTTTTTCTACAAAATAAGTAACCAGATTTAAGTTTTAATTAAAAAAAAATATATTTCAAAAGGGAAATGGGCATTTTAAGTACATTTTTGTACTTAAAACATCAATGGAGATGGCCGTTATTAAAACTAACATAAAACTTTAATGAATTATTTTCCTTGCAAATAGCCGTTTTTGTTGGGATATAATTTTGCACTAATATACTACGTAATATTTCGATTTTATTAGTGTAAATAACTCATTTAAAAAAAAAATTGGAGATGGCCGCTTTTGAAATTAGACGATTCAATTTAACTTCTGTAAGATATTTTTTATATTTAAATACCTATTTAAATATCTGTTTTTTTAATGTCTGTCATTTGGCAATTATTTAATACCTATCAAAATGACAAAAGTAAAGAACGACAGTTGTTTAAACGTCAAAATGATATGTTTCAATTTTAGAATTAAATGCGGTAGGTACCTATCAAAGATGTTCTTTGGTACCTATGTTAAAGAAATTAAAAAACTTACATCATGTACAATTGTTGTTTCTGATCTTTCGTAGATAAAATTATTACATGTTTTTGTTGAATTTTGATTGGCAAGAGGAGAAAAGCACGTTTCATTAATTCTTTCATAATAAAGACATTTGTTTGGTAACCCATTTTTGAAGGGAACATAATCCTTTAACCAGTCAGGATTAAATGTATTTGATGGTTTCTCGCACTCCGAAATAAAACACCTAAAATATTTATTAGTTTAAAAGTTTTATTTCAACTCATTTCAAGTAGATAATAAAATCTTTTACCTGTATTTTATATCTCTCGCAGTAAAAATATAACTCATTTGGCATACTGTGTACATAACAGCAAGACATAAACATAAATAATAAACCAGTTGAAATTTGCCCCATTTTCCTAATTTTATTAGCAAGTTATCTAATGGTTTTTCATCCATTGCTCTTTATTCTTTAAGTAATAAAAACTAAATTATGTTAATTTTGTCATTTTATTGAGGTTAACAAGTTTTTCTATTAAAAATAAAGTGAGCGAAGTATGCTCCATCTAAATAATAGTAAATATTCAATACAGAAGTATTGAAAACAAACTATTTTTATGAAGCTCAGGTTATGTCTGAAATGCTGTAGGGACCCTTTACTGCTGACAAAGTTTAAGCTTTTGTATGGTAGATGGAACTACTGGTATTGTTTTGCATATACTTACCACACAGTGGTAAGTATATGTTGTTTTGCTGCAAAACTTTTGCACATACTTCCACACATATACATTTATCTATTTTGCGTTCATAATGACTTCATTATAATACCGCTTTCGGTGCTGTAATGAGATACTTTATCCCACCCAAAAATTTTATAGGTTGGCTATACTTTAATGCTTTAAACAGCATAATATTTTGAATATTAGTTAGGTATAATATTTTTATGATTTTTGTAGTACTTTTCTGGCAATAAATTTTGTCGAACACCAAAGAAAATTCTTTTTTTCTTCTTTAACATTAACAGCCGCTTATTGATAATAAGTAAATTAAGGACGGCATGGCGAATTAATTGTGACATTAACTGTCAAACCAATGACTGTGATACCAACTATCTAAAGTATAATTCGACCCACAATTTTATAACCCACAAATTAACCTTCAAATTGACATTTGACAGCCCTGATAGAATAAGGTTTATTTTTTACAAAAGAGGAGTAAAATGATTGTTCTTACCACTTTGAGGTCTCTTTTAAGGCTTGCAAGTCTCTCGGTAAGAAACACAACGTTTAAAACGATTATTAATCTGTACAAACCCAAAGTACAAGAATTGTAAACAACAAAAATGGCCGCCATCGTATGATGTGCAGTGTTGCAGTGATTTTTAGTATTTTTACTATGAGATTAAACAGACCTTGTTGTGTGGATTGTGATTCGACCAAATTAAATTTAAGGAATAAAATTAATTTATTAACTTATTTTTTAAAATTTCAAAATTTTTTGATAAATCCAAAACGGTTACTTTTTTACTCCAAAAATGTCCATAAGGCGATGTACTTTTTCTGCCATTGAGGCATTTGGCATAACTTCATCGAAATGAAATTTTGCTCTTAAAAGTTCTTTTACTTTAGAATCTGATATTATTTTTGGCATAGTTATCTTTTTATATCGATATTAGGTATATATTATACCTATACTATATAATAATGAACAAGTTAATTATCAATAAGAAATAGTACTCTGAGAGAGTATTTAATTAAGGTCTTCAGCAGAAGTAAATAAAAAAAAATGAACTTTACATGAAGTTCATTTTTTTATATGGATTGCGGCAACGTTGCAAATTTAGGGTTTTGCTTGGTAAATACAGTTGTCAAGTTGGTCGCATTGATTAAAACCCTAAACCAAACTAAGCTAGTTATAAATCTATTTGTGGTTATGTATAAATTATTGTAGGTTACATTATGCAGTTGTCAAGATGAGTTGTTGAAATTCGTAGTTAAAAATGCAATTAATTTGGCTTTGGTGGTGCTTGGATGTGTAAAATCATGTAAAAAAGTAGTTAAATATAGGTTGCTTTACGGCCCAGAAGAGAAAGTATTCCTAGAGGATATATCCTCTAGGAATACTTTAATAATCATAATAATAATCTTTGCTTTGAAAAGAATTTATATAAAAGAAATTAAAATTTTTTGTGAACGTATTTGTTGTCCACTGGTGAATAATGTGAAAATAATGTGTGATGTAATATTTATAAAACCAAATTCGTTACTTTTTTACTCCAAAAATGTCCATAAGGCGATGTACTTTTTCTTCCATTGTGGCATTTGGCATAATTTCATTAATTACATTCGAATTCGTTGCTATTATTTTTGGCATAATTATCTTTTTATTTAAATTAATATTATTGTCAATTTGACAGTCAAAGTATTTAATTAAATTCTGTAGCAGAAGTACCATTTTTAAATACTAAAAATACTGAGTCAAACTGGCATAAGCCTCCAACCTTACAAAAAAAACACGAGTCCAGATAAAAAAAATGAACTGTATCAACCTCAGTGTTTTAAGACAAAAAAACGAACTTATTGTCTACACCTCGTATTATTGTCAAAACAAATATCACTGACGTTTTCATAAAATGTTCCATATATAATTTGTGTGTATAAACTTTAAAGATGAATAAATGTTGCAAACATGGAACCAACAATAAACTAAAAAGAGGTAAAGTGGACTTTGTGTGCAATTTACCGAAAGAATTTAAATACCCAGCAGAGCCGCACGGCTACAGTATCCAGGATCCGAATAAACATCCTCATCCTTTTTATGTTACAACTTCCACAGATTATGGCAGGTAAAGTAAAGTAAAATCAACCAAATAACAATAAAGATGGCTTTAAAAAAATACTTGAAAACTTTCCGAGAGATTTAAAATCGTTTATGTTTATTGACTTTAATTTAACTTCATAATTTTGTTTTAGACTACCTCCACGGATGCACGATCTGGTACCGGCATATTATCCGCGTGATCAGGCCTTTACAAATTTAATGAGCCTCTCCAATCCCTATAGAAATTACTCATTGAACCACTAAAAATTCCTCACACAAAAGATTATTTCATATAATAAATCATTACTTTTTATCCATTATTGTTTCATTAAATTTGCCTTTAATTCTTTTTTTCTACCTTTAAAACGCCATCTTTAAAACGCCAATTATCGTACGTTTTCATGACACTAAGTGGCCCTTTTAAATACACATTGACAAGTTGGGGCGTTTTAGTCACGGGCTGAAGTTAGTTTTAAGCGAGGGGTCACCCACACCTGGGAATCCCTGGACATTTTAGAGGGGGAATACCATAGGAATACAATGGAAATACATAGGAATACAATAAAATATAATGGGAATACAAGGGAATCCCTGGACGTTTTCCCTTTGGGTGGTTGACCCCTCGGTTTTAAGTTAGTTGACAGTTGCCAAATGTCATACACACTGAAAAAAATAAGCTGTTAAAACAACAAAAATAATAATTTTCCAAACACATTAAAAAATGTACAAGTAGGTATGTGCGTATGTATTGTAAATAAAGCATGCCATGTGTGAACCGTTCTGTCAGTGTCAACTTTACAATTTTGTTTTGTGTTTTTTCTCGAAAAATAATTAAAAACGTCGGTTTCAATATTAAAATACAATGGTGGTTTGTTATGTCTTTGGTTGTAAAGGTTATATAAAGACTTTATTCAGAATAATATCATATATTCCATCGATGGTCCACTTTCTTTTATTGTCTAGACTCTAACCAATACCATCCGCACATTGTGTGGATTGTAACCAATACCAACTTAATCAGAAAAGTCAAATTAAGTGAATATTTACTACATTTCCTGGTTTCTTTGGTGTTCTGCGTCCGCAATGTCGATGTTGAGGATTTTATTAAGTTTTCTGGTTCTATCAATTTCAGAGATGGAATCCAACGTAACTATAATAGAAACTGCGACAGATCCGTCCTTAGATAATGACACTGTTGAATTTTCTTCAAATAAAACGGAAACTCGTCCGCCGTGGCTTAAAGATGCTCTTAAAGATATTGCCTATTACTTGCGAGCTCACAAATTCAACGAATACGATCGAAGGTATGAGATGGATGCCGAAAAGGCTGCTAGGTAAGTTAATTAATTGAAAACTACACTGGATTTGAGAAGCTACTTTTTAAATCGCATTATGCACGGTGTGCCTGAACGAAGTTTAGGTCACATAAAAACTGATTGCAGTTTCTTGTTCGGGACCCTTTGGTGACTTAAAAATGATATTTACCAAAATCCTAGCTGATCCTCTTTTCGAAATTTTTTGAAAATTCATGATTTTTTTTTAAATTTTTGTTTATCTTAATGTCTACCTTTGACAGAGTACACATTTGTACACCGATTTTTATAATATTGGAAAATATTGTTAAGGAGATTTGGAGAATACTGTTTATACTGTGCACATCATTTAATATATACAGGGTTAGCCAAAAATCGCTTCTTTTAATGAAGCAAAGGCGTAAATTCATGATTTTGGCATAACACGCAAAAAAGATATACCCACCCATGTTTTTTTAGATATTTTTATGTTTATCAGGCTACAAAATGGGATTCTTATCAAGACTTTATAAGAAAAATTGATTTTGAATAAAATTAAATAAAATAAATTTTTTTGGAGATAAATCTGTTTTGTGCATTATGCTTTTTACTATATAAAAACGTGATTTTTGGCTAACCCTGTATAAATCTAATGATGAGCTCAGTATGAAAACAGTATTCTCCAAGTCTCGTTAACAATATACTCCAATATTATAAAAATCGGTGTACAAATGTGTACTCTGTCAAAGGTAAGATAAACAAAAATTTAAAAAAAAAAATAAGAATTTTCAAAAAATTTCGAAAAGAGGAGCAGCTAGGATTTTGGTAAATATCATTTTAAGGTTACCAAAGGGTCCCGAACAAGAAACTGCAATGAATAAAAATCGGTGTACAAATTTGTACTCTGGCAAAGGTAGCCATAAACAAATAATTTAAAAAAAAATGATTTTTTAACAAATTTAAAGAAAAGCAGTTAGAATTTTGGTAAATATCGTTTTTAAATCTCCAAAGAGTGCCGATCAAAAAACTTTAACCAGTTTTTCGTTCAAAATTGAAGCGTTATTTTATTTAATTTTATTAAAAATCTATTTTTTTTAATAAAAGGTTAATAAGAATGCCATTTTGTTACCTAATAAACGTAGAAATATCTAAAAAAAAAATGGGGATACATTTGTTTTGCGTGTTATGCCAAAATCATGAATTTACGCTTTTGCTTTATTAAAAATAAGCGATTTTTGGCGCACCCTGTATATACATATCAAATTATGTGAACAGTATTAAAAAGTATTCTTTAAGTCTCCTCAATATTATACTCTAATTTTATAAAAATCGGTGTACAAATGTGTACTCTGTCAAAGGTAGACTTTGAAATAAAAAAAAGTTTAAAAAAAAATTATAAATTTTCAAAAAATTTCGAAAAGAGGATCAGCTAGGATTTTGGTAAATATCATTTTTAATTCACCAAAGGGTCCCGAACAAGAAACTGCAATCAGTTTTTGGCGTCATTTTTATGTGACTTAAACTTCGTTCAGGCACACCGTGTATGCCCTCAAAAATAAATTTTACTTATTGCTTTTTTAATGCGGCTGACCTAAAGGAAAAGTATCTATTTGATATTGGCACTTAGACCCTTTAAAACTTAAAAAATGCTTGCAGTGTTATAAAAATCAGATTTGTTAACATGAGTTTGTAGTTTGTTAATTCTGTTTTGTAAAATTTTAACATAATTTTTTGTAGAAAACCAGGGTTTCTATAGAATTATAATTTTTTAACAAAGGAAAATATTTTACCGAAAGTTTTGTAAAGGTAATATGAAATTTTGTTGGCATTATGTTATTTTCAAAGGTTACAGATTAAACATTCAATTTTCTTAGTTTCTTTAAGAAACTTTCTTGACCCATTACTGGTAATATTCATAAGAAAAAATTGAACCTACACCTCGCCAAAGTTTTTTGTTTTGAATGCGTTCCACCAACTTCAAATACCGACAGACAGCTGTTTCGACCTTTATTGGGTCTCATCAGATTATTTTGTTAATGAGTATGACTATGAGTATAAGAGACGTATAACCGGCCCTGCATAGACCTCTGATTCCTTGCGCCGATTTTCTTTTGTCACCAGCAACGGTACGGCTTCACCCGTGTTTGCTGGTTGCGAATGTCCATTACGTCCCGTACTGTCCCCTAATTAGGGCTCGAGGACGAAATGCCAATAGTTTTAGAAGCCATTTCCGGGTTCGCCGAGCCGATGCTATACGCCCAGTAGGGTCATGAAAGAGGTAGGACGGGAGGGATAGATATTTTGTGGTAGAATTGTTTTGTCTTTTTTTCTTAATTTCCAAAATTAAGTATTGCATTTATTTATTAGTTAAACAAATGACAAGCGCAATTATTTTGTTATAGTCTAATGTGTTTACAAATCCAATAAAGTTTGATTAGTATGCTGTTTTTACTATGTTTGGGTTTTCATGATTTATTGAGTGTTATGTTCTAAGTGTCAAATGTTTATTATTGGTCTCGTTTGGCTTAAAATTAACATTGTTTTGTTGGGGCCGTTACTGGGTTACTGGGTTTCATGCCTTACGCATTTGTTGTTAACAGATTTATTGTCCTACTTAGCTTACCGCGATAGGTTCGAATGGGAAGTTTTGTTTTTTTGTTGTTTGACTTTTTTCTTTATTATTGTTTTTTTTCTAAAGTTTAAGCAGTGTGCCTTTCTTAGGGTTTTAAAGGTATCTGTCGTGTTTAATTTTGCAAATTATGTGTTAGGTCATGCATATGCTTGAGGATACTTATCAATTTTTGCGGATGGCCTTTTCCCCTCTTGTTTGACCTCTTATGTTTGTCTAGTGAAAAGCGTCCAGTTGAGGGGTGGTATGACCGCCCAGAAGCTCACTTGTCACTTAACTCTTTCTTATCACTTAACTCTTAACTCATTCTTGACCGTATACTACCCTATAGGGTAGTCTATACTTAATGTAGTTGTTTCACTGTAATTTGTTTGCACTTTTGAGAAATTATTTTTTGGTTTTGACTTTTACGTTTAAAGAGCTCTCGTTGATACAATGCGTCTTGCCTTGTGACTTGGAACGTGACTGACAGATTATTTTGTTAATGTTTAACAAATTATTTCGTTGGAAAAGTACACGTGATTTCAGTCAGTCAATCAAAACATTTCCCACTGACAATACGCATCAACAAGTTCAACTGACTTTACCCAAGCAGCATTTTAAGTAAAATCGTAGAGCTTTGAGGCAATATTACTTAATTTAAGTAAATATTTTGTTAAATTAACTTTAAAAAATTACTTTGAGGTAAAACTTTTTTTAAAGTTATTTAATAAGTTTTATTTATGTTATTTTTACCTATTTTAATAACCCTTAAGTTTCAACACTTTAAAGTATTATAAGGGACGTAATTTTTACGAAAGAAAATTACTTATAAGTGTATTTCACCTAAAGGAAAATTTAACGGTAATTTTAACCTCAGAATTTTTACTTAATGGTAAATGTTACTCATAAGTCATAATTTTACGATATTAAGACCACTTTATAACCGTAAATAATACCTATTCGCCTGGTATTTTTTAGGGTTATTAGTGGTAATAAATACTATTAATATAGACTAAACAAGGAAAAATAAGCTTAAAGTGAAAAATAAAACTTTAAGGGAAAATTTTGTTCAGGTCGCCATAATGATTTTTTTAAGATGGCATCCATTACTTATCTAAACATTTATATAATATTTTTTCATAAATATTTTTCTAAAATATAATAAGGAAAGTTTTAGTTATTAAAAAATGATTAAAACTAAATGATTTTTAAAAGATTTTAAAAAATTTTGTAGGTTTTAAGTTTTTTTGAATTTTTACCCAAGCAATAATTTTTCTTAAAATCGTAAAATATTTAGAGGGCATAAAATTTTTAAGATGTATCGTACCTATTTTTATCAATAAAATATTGTGCATTTGAGTTTTAATGCAAAATATTAT